CCGTTAGCCTTCTTGAACACAAAGAAAGAAACCCTCATAATGTCAGCATCCAGGGCAGGCGAGGGCGGCTGACTAGCAGGGCCAAGGCACCGGGACCCAGGCAGATGGGGCGTGGCAAGGGCAAGGCCAGTGCACAGTTCAAGGTCAGGCCGGAGTCCATAAGGATGGGTAGTGTAGTCTAAAGCAAGCCAAGGGCTGGGGAACCGAGGAAGGCGGACCAGCCAGGGAGAGAAGAGGTGCAGGCAGAACACAGGAAGGCAGGCAGGCAGGATTCTGGAGTGAAGTTTCAGGTCTAGCAGACCAGGGAGGGCTTCACAAGCAACAGGAGACCTTTGTTGCAGAGGAAGATCCTGAGGGGAAGAGCTGGTTCTTATACAGCTCTTCCCCAGGGCTCCCCAGGTGGAACTCATGAGAGCCCTGGCAGCTGCAGTGGACGGAGGTCAGAGTCCTGCAACCACCAGAGCTGCTCCGCTGCCCCTTGGCCAGCAGAGGGAGCCCTGAAGCTGCCTCGGGTCTTGACACATGAATGGTTTGGGAGGTACTTTATGACCCCAAGACACGTGATCCCAGGACAGTAAAACATCTCAAAACCAAATCACAGAGTTGCTCTGAAATAGCTCCTTTCCTACTGCTGATTTGGTTAGGAAAATGCCATTGGACGTGCTTTCACCCATGCCTGAAATTTGGGGGCATTATCTTACGTGTACAAGTAAATCTTCTGAAAGGGTTGGCGTTCTGCATCTACTTCTGTATAAACTCTGCACTGAGGCATGGTTTACCCCATGTTACTAGATAATTTAATTGTCTTAGATTCCTCTAACCAATATGATGCTTTAGCTGAAACTGTTTGAGGAAAATATATGTAAATATCTTAGGGCTCAATCTTATGCATGGCTGGCTAGGAAATGCTGGAGCTGCAAAATGTTTTTCTATCTAAACATGCATAGGGGCCAAGCTTTAAACTATCTGAATCTATTGCCAGCTTTTGTCTGATCTGCATTGCCTTAGATGGAGCCAGCTCTCCTTTTCACTAACGTTCTGGCTATAGGAATTTTTGGCTGCAAGTGTAGCACTTTCTAAGTGGGAAAACGTGTGTGTGTGTGTGTGTGTGTGTGTGTGTGTGGCGGGGGAAAGAGTGAGCTCTCTGCTATGCTTGCACATTTTATGTCAGGAGATTGTTGTCCATCAGTACATCTTTGACAGTAACTGCAAAAGCAGGTGTCTGCACAATTGCTGCGTGCAGCAATTCAAAATTCCTGGGCTAGTCTTAAAGGTAACAAGTGACTCCTGGTTTGCTATGCTATGCTATGTTGTGAGCCGCCCCGAGGCTACAGCAAGGGGCGGCATAGAAATGTTTTAATAAATAAATAAATAAACAAACAAACCTCCTGCCCTGCCTCCTACCCCTCTGGAAATGGAAATGCCCTTTGCATGGTTTCCTTCTGGAAGGGAGTTCTGTTGCATCTGAAAACAACACATTCAGCCCTTGTGATTTTGCAGAGGGGAGTGTATGGAGATTAAACCGGTTCTGCTGGTGTTTCCCCATATTGTCACGTGTCTTTTATCCCACCATGTGCCCAGTGATGGCATTGCAGTTTTCCCTCCCCCTCCCCCCTTCCTTCCTCCCCCGCCCCTTTGTAAGAGATACCGTATTTTTAGCTCTATAAGATGCACCTGACCATAAGATGCACCTAGTTTTTAGAGGAGGAAAACAAGAAAAAAATATTCTGAATCAAATGGTTTACTAAACTATTTAATAAACTATAACAGAATAAAGTAATACCGTATTTCAACCTTGTAAAGTGAACAGCAGTCAACAGTGGCATTAAGAACCATCATCACTGTCATTAACAAAAGAGAGACTTTAAAGTTTGAGTACTCTTCTAGTTTTCGTTGAACCCATAGAACTCATCATCACTAGAGTCAGAATTTATGAAGCTCTGTTGCTCACAATCACTGACATCACTTTCTTAGTCAGTAGTGGAATTATTGAAGGAATCCACAATCTACACCAGTTATACAAGAGCTGCTGCAGACAATTCAATAACAAATCTAAAAAAGCCAGTAATGTCCACGCTGCCCTACTAGTAAATAATAGAAAAAAACTTCTGACAAAAAATTAGATACTGTATGGTACACACAGCGGACTAAGCCTTTGAAGAATAAACTTCATACATGAAGGTAATGCCGTTCAAATATCCACTGATCCTAAAAAAAATGTGTCTGATCAACTAACAGATAACTGATCCATGGAAAGCTTCCTGATAATCACAGGCACATTCCCCGTCACTTCCCCATGGGCTTCATTAAAAGACGGGTTGCCATTTGAAAACACACACCGACCTGTGATTAACAGCTCTCACCTGTGCCGGAGGAGGGGGGCGGAGCAGGGTGCGTCGAGCGCATGCCGGCCAGGTGGTGCCACGTGGTGCAGGCAGCCGGCAGCGTCCCGGGCATTGGGCACACACACATTCGCTCTATAAGACACACAGACATTTCCCCTTACTTTTGAGGGGGGAAAAGTGCGTCTTATAGAGCAAAAAATACGGCACATCAGAATCCTGTTCCTGTTTGCAATAGTGAATTTGTACTGAGCTGCACTTGTGCATTTGTGCATCTGCACTACTCCACCCTTGTATGCCGCACATTAGTACTAAGCGGCTCGTGCAAACTCTCCCCCAAAACAAAGAAACTGGTTTTAAAGTTTGTTAATCCGCAGAAGCAGCATGACTTGAAAAGGTTTGTCTACTGTGGAATCTAAGATGCATAAAAATCCACACTTATCTGAATCCCTTAGCAATCTCCTGGACATCCCAAATGTATCTTCCTTTTCTCTCCCAGGCACATCACTGCCTACTTGGGGCTGACTCCTGCAGGTTCCCAGCCCCAGTCACGTGTTCTTACTGGGTAGTGGGAGTTACTGGTGCTTCCTTTGTCAGTGGGGCTCCTCATCTAGCACTGCTGTGGTCCTGACCTTTGTCATGGCTCTCCAGGCCAGGGGAGCTATTTTAGGGGCAAGGCTGAGCACCACAGATAGCTCCTATAAAGTGCAGAAGTAAAACTGCACGGGGGTCTCCCCACTTTCTAGTCTGCCAGATATCCTCTTCGCAAGCAAGCAAGATTGCTGCTCTTGATCTGTGAAAGCTTTGACTGACACCTTTTGCGGCTTTAAAGGAGGAACAGACCGGAGCGGTTACAAGAATGTCCATAAGCAAGAGTGGCTGGCCTCTCTCCACTGAAGGGCCAAATGCAGCTTCAGAGAATTCTCAGAGGCTGCATTTCGTGGTGGGTGGGCTGAAGGCAAAGGGGCAGGGGTGGAAGAAGAAGAAGAGACCAGAAATACCAGCGTGTTTTATCTTCGAGCTCCTGCTCCCAGAAGCTAAAACTTAGGTGAGGCATTTCACAATGGCCCTCTGGAGAACCCCAGGGGCCTGGACTGGGAAAACAGCTGGGCCAGATGCAGCCTGCAGGCCTGAAGTTCAACACCCCTGCTATGTGGAGCCCCAAATTCGGAGGCGATATGCTGGCTGCCAGGACTGGCCGTAGTTCCTGCTTGTGAGCTTCCTATTTGGAGAGCCACTGTGCGAGACCAGGTGCAGCCCTAGAAAGATCTTCAGTCTGATCCGGCTTCTTAAGTGCTCTGGTCACCCTGTGCCCCCTCCACTGTCCCCCCACCCCAGGAAGGGACTTTCAGCAGGGGCTGCTCTCTATGGGCCGCTTTATGCTTGCACCCCACACTGTAGTTACAGAATGTGGCACCTTCTTCCTGATTCATGTTTGTTCCCAGAGCCCAAACATCAGCTGGAAAACTGCCAATGAAAAGCATGAAAAGAAAAGCCCTTCTTGTTCCTCTGAGCCTCCTCTGTGCGGCCTTCTGTTGATTTTGCTCAGCATTTTGCTCAGCATTTAGCTCCTCTTGTAGATGGCACTGGACATGCCCACTCACCGCCGAAGTCTGTCCCGCAGCTGCTCTGTGAAAAAGCACCGCCTTGGCATGCCGAGGGACTCTGGTTTGATCCGCAGCGTCTCCAGGCAGGGCTGGAAATCTCCTGCTTACAACCTGAGAGAGCTGCTGCCAGTCCGTGTTGGCAATACAGGGGCTGGCTCAGGACAAGGCAGCCTCTGCTGTTCTCCGTTCTGGCCACACTTGTGCCGCTGCTTTGGCCATTCCGAAAATGTTAGACTGCAACTCCCACTGTCCCCACCAGGTGCAAGGTGTAGTCCACCAAGAGCGGGAAAAACTTCTGTAACCTGACTCGATAAAGCTTGCATGGGTGGGAAATGTACCTTTATGTCTCTCTCAACCTCTGTGAACATGTTTCCAAAAGGGTGTGGGAAGGTGGTAGACTTGACTGTCTGCCTGCGCTGTTTCTCCCTTGCTCCACGGGGATAGAGAGCTCCCCTAAGGCTCCGCACAAAAGCTGCAGTGGGTAAGGAGCCCCACCGACACAGGAGTCACCGGCCACACCCCACGCACGAAGGGAAGCCCTCCTCGTAGAGGCGCACGGCTGGCTGGCGCGGGTGGCGTGTTCGCCTTAGCACGCACTCCTCCGAGCCCCGTTCTGACGCGCGGGCGCTGCTCGCGTATCCTCGCCCGCCAGGCGACGGGGTAGCCCAGGGCGAAATCCTCCGGGCTGGGCAGCCTGGGAGCTGCCAGGGCACGAGCGCCTCTCTCTCTCTCTCTCTCGGCTTGTGAAGGGGCGCATTTCGGACCAGGCAGGTGGGGCGAGGGGAACGCACTTTGCGAAGCTTTCCAGAGCGGAGTGCAGGAGGAGGAGGAGGAGAGGGAGGATCGCGCAGTCTGTCCGGGAGACTTGGAAGGCCGGCCGTGGAGCTCGCAGAGGGCGGCTCGGGGCGGCGGGCGGGGAGCGGCGGCTGCTGTGCGCCCCGCCGCTCGATGGGGCGGGCGCCCCGGCGAGGGATCCCGCCTGCTGCCTGCCGTCGCCCCGCTGCTCCTGCCCGCGGCCGGCGGCGGGAGGCGCGGCGCGGGCTGCGCGGAGATGCAGGGCGGCAACGCGAGCCGCCCCGATGGCCGCTTCCCCCGCGAGGCGCGCCTCTCGCTGGCCGCCGTGCTCATCCTGACCATCGTGGGGGACATCCTGGGCAACGCGCTGGTGATCGCGGCCGTGCTGAGGAACAGGAAGCTCCGCAACGCCGGTGAGCTCGGCCGGGCGGCCCGCCTCCTTCCCGGGGCCCTTGCGGGGTCGGGGTCGGGGCAGAGCCCGGGGCGGAGGGGCGGGCGGCGCGCAAGCGGCTCGGAGGCTCCCGCGCGGTGCGCGCGGGGCGGCGAACTTCTTCCCCTCTGCCCGAAGAGGCACCGCGCCCCTGGCCGCGCAGCCCCGCTTGCGCCGCGCAGACCGTGGCGGGTCGCAGGCAGCCTCGCGGCCCTCGCCCTGCTCGCCACCCGTTCCGCAGCCTGCCGGGGCGATTCAAGTGGTCTCCTCGAGCGCCGCGCGACGACAGCCCTGCGAGGCAGGCCAGCGTTCCTGTCCTTTGTTCGCGTGGAAGGGGAGGCTGAGCGAGAATGGGCTAACCGCAAAGGCGCCGGAGGAGAGAGTCTGGGGTGGAGAGAAAGATTCGCAGCAATCTACATCCGCAATGCTTCGGTCTGTGCCTTGCAAGCAGAATCCTAGGCATGTTTGCCTGGAAGGAAGGGCCACTGGGTTTGATGGTGCCGGTGCCCCAGTCAGGCTGCACCAGCGTACATTTGGCGCTAGCCACTAGGATGCACCTCCACCACTCGGCAGCGGATTGTCTGTAGGGACCCCCACCTTTCGCTCCAGCTGGGTGCGCCTTCCCATTCCTCTGTATTCTAGGAGCACCCTTTCCCCTGCAGTCCCTATCATACAGAAGAAGAGATCGCTGGGGCTCCCCAGGAATCCCTCCTCCTGCCTTTGCTAGTGCTTCCCTTGCTCAGTTTCCCCGAAGAGGGCAGGGTGCGTCGCCTCTTCCCCGGCGCCTTCTGCGGGATTTAATTTGAGGCAGACTGCTCTGGACGGGGAGCAGTAGCAAAAGTTGCTCTCTTGAGCGCACTTCCTTGCGCCCAACAGAGCTGAAGTCAAGGTGTGGGCTTTTGCGGACGTTCCCAGGACTCTGCTTTTCACATCAGATCGCAGCCCCAGAACATGTAATAAAGTGACCCTGAGCATGTGCAGAGTGATCCCCCGCCCCCTCCCCGTCACCACCAGCACAAGTCTGAGGTCACGTTTGAGAAACTCATAGGTAGCCCTGTACATTCGAAAAGGATCTTGAACCTCAAGGAGTATCTCCAAGGAGAACGAAGGATACACCTGATATCTGTAGGGAATGTAATAGCTAGAAGGCACAAGGGTGAATTGCCGTGATAGCAGATCCCAGAAAGAAACTTATCCTGAGGGAGAGCTTTACTTTAAGAACATTTTGTGCCCTGTGTCTGATCAACGTTTCAAGCAGGGATGCTATTTCAAAGCGAGTTGCTGGAGTGCCTCTTCGGGAAGGAGCTCTGCTCTGTCCTACTCTGTCTTTGGATATAATAACACATCAACTGTGAGATTGCTCTGAGCACAGCAAACCATGGCAGGTGCAAAATCCAACTTGCAAATAACAGCCACGAAGCCCCTGTGCATAAGTGAGAGGAAGAGAGGATGCCAAGCACGAGAGAGGAGCAGAATGAATTTAACACAAGGGAGACCTGCAGCATGAAGTGCCCACTGTCTCAGCCCCAGCCAGCCAGACTCGCCCTTTCCCGTGATACTCCATTCGGGTCCTCTTCCCACTGGCTTTCCATTCACCTCCCCAGCGACAGATGCAGTGGTCTGGCCACTTGAGGGTGCTCAGGGCTTTTTCTCTAAGGATTCTCCTTGTGCACTTGAACGTCCCTGGAAGATTGGTGGTGCCTCCTTTACACGTGGCTGGTGTATCTTGCCTTCAAAAGGACTGTGATTGCAGAAATGAGCTTGCTGCTGGTGTCAAGATAGGCTTGCTACACCTGCTGGATCCAGGGGACTGGGCTGTCCTTCAAGGCACTGACTTCCAGTGGATAAAACTGGCATATTTAATGGGACTCAAAATGGGTTCCTCAAGAGGGCTGGAATTAGGGGTGCAGGGAGACTCCATAAAGGGGATTGTGCCACATTAATGAAACATGCTGCAGCCGCCGCTTTTTTACACTGCTTGCGAGACTGTTTATTTACAAAATCCCCTTTCAGTCCTATCAAGCAGCAACCATCCCAAATATCTAATCTTTTTAAATTTTAAAGACTGCAGTCGTTACAATAAGACAAGACAATAGAAGAATGTATTTGCTCATTTACAAAACAGCAAAATAATTTTATTTATTTATTTCCCTTGCAAAATATTCTTGCACAGCTGCCACTGGCAGCACCTGGGGAGAAGGGGGCAGTCTGGGGGAGAAGCACATGGCCTGGATGTGCTCCCCCGTGGGCCAGATCTCACCCCTGGGGTTGTGTGGTCTGACTTGCTGGTCATCCTGCAAGTGTTTGGAGATCGCTTCATTTGAAAATCCCAGGAGGAAATTGGAGAACAAAACACAGCAGGTCAACATACCCAGGAGTCAAACCTTAAGCATGTTGTGTGTTGCTCTGTGCTTTTAATAAGCAGCTAAGCATCCCTGTTCTAGGCATGGGACAGATGGAGCAGGTTCACATAGAACAACCCATGGCTTGTTCAACCCATGGCTTGTCCAGACGTGCACATCTTGCCCCCCGTGTGCTTGTCAGTTTCACTTTGCTAAGCAACCTGGGAGTGCCACCCAGCTTCTGACTGGGGTAAAAGGATAAACTTTTGTGTAACATTAACAACCCAAGGTGCTGGGTTTGGAGGTCACTCAACAACATTATAGGGCTGATAGCAAAGTAGATAAAAGTGAATGTGGCCAGCAGCTGTGAGGTGGCCCCTCTGCTTGCTTCCACATGGCCCAGCTAGTTCATGGGAACCACGAAATTGTTTCTGTTCACATGTAATACCAAGCTATCGTCTGTGGCTGTGTTCAGACAACACAACAAGCCATGGCGGGGGTTTTAAATTGCTGGTCTGTTGTGTTGTCCAAACCCAGATTTTTGCCATGGGAAGGTTGGTCTTTAGAAACTACAATAAGAAACCATGGTTTGGTTCTGTGGTTGCTCTGATTCACCGTGGGTTTGTTGTCAGAACCAGAATCATGGTTTCCACAGTTCTGGAAGGCAAGTATCACAGACTGCAGGTGCGGGTGCCACTCCAGCCGTCCGGACTCTATGTGCAGGCCAAGCAGGAGTGGCAGGCAATGTGGGCAGGGAGCAATCCACCTTGGGACTGAATGTCAGGCACAGTGGCGGAACCACCATGACTTGCTGTGTTGTCTGAACCTGCTCGACAGCAGGTCAGTTTTCAACAAGCCACGCCATGGCGTGGCACAGGAGCAGGCAGTACTGGGGCCAGGGCGTGAGGATCCCTGAGCAGTGGGCTTCCTCCCCTGCCAGGGCCAGAGCTGTTCTCCTGCCCCTCCTCACACCTGGCACCTGTTTGCCAAGCAGGCAGCGAGCCAGCAGGCCATGGCATCTTCCGTGCCTCCTTCTTGCACCCATATTGTGAGAGGCAGGCAAATGCGTTGGCTTGCCGGGAGGTGGCCCCCAGGGGGTCTTGTCAGAGGACACACATTCCTGACCAAGCCTGCCTGGGCGCAGGTCCTGCTCCCACCTGGCTGCATGTTCCCGTTGGGAAGCCCTCGCAGGAGCCTCATTCCGGCAGCAGGCACGGCTTCCTGCCCAAAGCATCAAGCCGAAATATCAGCCTTCTGCTGCCTGAAGCTTCGATTGTCCTTCGTTAGGGGCGTTTGAGGCTGAGATGTTTTAACCTTTCAGATTGCACAAAAGCAGGGAGACCAAGGCATGACCGATGGCCAGAGAAAAGGCGGGTGGTGGGGGGGTTGGGGGGGTGTCAGATTGGAGTTGGGTGACAGGGACAATCCAATGACAAATGGATCGGTGGATGTGGTTCTAGATTGCTGGGATGCTGCGCTGTGTGCAGGAGCCTCGTCACTCCTTCTGGGGCTTACGACTTAGTGGAGGGACTCCCCTTGCAGCCTCATGGCCGTGTGGGGGCCCTTGGCCTTCCCCCTCCCAGCATTTCTTACTGCAAAGTACTGGTTTGCAGGCAGCTGTGTTTCTGCACCTGGGACTGCTCCTTTTCAAAAGCAAAACAAGGTATCTGCAAGGCTGCAGTTGCCCCATTGTAATCCAATCACAGCATGCCTGTCTCCAATTTAAAAGTGCTGCAGAATTAAAACTCTGATGGAGAAGTATATAACCAGTTCCCTTGTGACTAACAGGGCTGGGATTTGAGAGTGGAGCTAGGCCAGTCCGTCTTACTCTCACTAAAGCACAATTATGCTCTAATTGCTTAGTTCTGCTGTAAACCTTTAACAGTACCACCTCTCAGACGGATACTCTCATTCCGTAGCATTCTTCTGTGTACGGCCTTTTGCTGCATACATGCGAGTGCTTGGTGAAGAAGTGTGTGTGGCGGGGGGCGGATTGCTGCCCTAGAAATGGATTTTGCAAAACAGAGCACAGCTGTGGAACTTTAATTTCTTTCTCTCCCCCCCTCACAGCCCAAGTTGTAAAGTAATTTTATTCCTCTCCTCAGAGAGATGAGAGGCTCCTGGAGGGGGAACTGGAGCATGGCATTCTCAGTGGTGGCCCCCGCAGCTGGTGCCTCCACTAGTGAAGCCTACCTGGCACCAACACTCCTATGTTTTCAATGCCAGGTTAAAATATTCTTCTAAGATGCAGGCATTGAACTGCATGGGGTGGGTTGAATCACACTGGTGGGGCATGATAGTTCTATTAATTTTGATAGTTCTATTAATGATAGTTCTATTAATTAGTTTTGCATCTAATTGCTGTGTTTCTAACAACTTTGCATCTGTGTGTGTCAAAGGTTTTATATCATATTTCATCATATGAATGAATGATACGAATATCATCTCATATGGGTGAACAAACAAATGAACAGACCCCGTTCTGATAGTCTGAGTCTTTGGGCAAGCACCCAGCCTGCTCTGTATTCTGTAATTATAGCATTTAAACTTGACTGGTGCTTTATTGTTTTCCAATTGCAGCTCATTTGGTAGACCTGGAGCCAGGGAAGGTGAGGGGGCAGCTCACCCCCAGCAGGAAATT